TTAGACATTATTAATGATATTAATGATTAAAATATATGGGAAATTACTATTAAGGTATGAGGTAAAATTAATATGTCATTTTGTTAGATTCAGTTTTTATTTTTATATTTGTTTTAGGAGATTCAGGTGTTTGGGGGTTGAAAAAAAATTTTGCTTTATTGGAGCTTTTGGAACGCCTGCAGAATGGACATATTGGTCAATATGGAGTTGCAGAAGAAGCCATTGGGATCTCTGGAGAGGTATTGATTGAATTTGTTATTATGAGCCTGAATTTTTTCTTTTATTTTAAAATATAAACATAATCTTACTTCCCTTGCTCCAGCAGATAGTAATCCAGAAACACACCTTTTCATTACATTATGGTTTTATAGGAACTAATATTCCCAACTGAATAGAAAGTAAAGTTTGAATTCTCTGAAAATATTATACCCAAAGTATGTTTTATGTGTAAACTTATCTCCTTATTATAATTCAGTTCTATCCAAGGATAAAGTCAGAATAAGAAGGTTATGGAACAGTAAGATAGAAGTGGAAGCTACATTTAACCAGAGGATGCAAAAGTGAATCAACAGTAAACAGTGTAGCACAAAAAAAGATGGAGGAATTCCATCAAAGAGGCCATTCAGTGTAGAGGCCAGATGCCTTAAAGATAGCAGTAGTGCCTGAGGAAATTATGACTATATATATCTTCATGAAAAGTTTAAATGTGTAAATACACTCTATTTATCCAACCGGCTGGTCATCCAGTAAATATTATGATACAGCCCATTAACACAGGTTAAAATACAGTTTTTACACTTACTTGTTTACATAGCTCATATACTGTCTTGGATATAAGAATATTTGTAGTAAATAACAGGTAACAATTTTGGTGATCAACTTTAAAGCCATAGGTTTAGAATCAAGGAAACAAATGTCAGATTGATTTCTACTTTTATTGGTCACAGTTTCTTTATGTAAAGTGAATCACTGAAGTGAATTTCAAACTGGAGCACTGTTTCCTAAAATTTTTACACCTCTTTCATGTGCTGTATCTTTTATCTTTCAAAAGACATTAGAATATTATCTAATGTTGTTCTTGTAAATTATTTGTCATGTCTAAAAAATAGAAGACATGAATTTTTTATTTTACTTGTATGTGTTACTCATAATTGCAAACAAAACACATTTTTTTTAAACTTTTTTTATGTCTTTATTTTATTTTGAGAGGACAGAGCGTGAGCGGGGGAGGGGCAGAGAGGGAGGGAGACCCAGAATCTGAAGCAGGCTCCAGACTCTGAGCTGTCAGCACAGTGCCTGACGCGAGGCGTGAACCCACAGACCGTGACATCATGACCTGAGCTGAAGTCGGATGCTTAACCAACTGAGCCACCCAGGGATCCCAAACAAAACACATTTAACTTTGGGTTCATTTTTTAATTTAGTATGATAATTAATGATACCATTGTTTTTTTTTTTTTAATTTTTATTTCTGGAATAATTTATGCCAAATTGCTCTCAGTTATGGCCTTTTAATATTAGGCATAAGTTTTCAAAGCATTCTTGATTATCTGTTATATAAAGTTATTCAGGTCAAAATGCTTTTTTAGTAATTCATGAAAATGAGAAATGATATTTAAGAGCTTAAATATAACATAGGTTTTTTTTTTTTTTTTCTAACTAGCTTAAATTAGTGCTTTTCCAGCCAGGATTATGCAGTGAATGCACCTATGAAGTTTTAGAAAAAAATACACAGGTTAGGCCTCATCTACAACCTATTGGAATTTCATAGGTTAAAGTCTGGGCATCTGTGTTTTTAAAAGCTTTGGATCTGATTCTCATGCATGCTTTTGGTTCTTAAAATAGCCTTTGCACTACTCTTCTTCCTCTACGTGACCATGATAAGTGGTATTGAAAGTACTGGGGAGCCTGGCTGGGTCACTTGGTGAAGCATGCAAATCTTGTTCTCAGGGTTATGGTAAGTTTGAGCCCCGTGTTGGATATAGAGATTACTTCAAAATCAAATCTTAAAAAGATTAAAAAATAGAGCACTGGGGATATATTTATTATCAGGCTTCTTTTTTAGTTTTAAAAGATTTCTAAAAAAAAAAGAGATTTCTAGCCTCTGGTTTCAGTTTCTTGCATATAAACTGAGGGATTTCCTAGAAGATATCTTTACACTGACTGTAAGTTGTAAGTCTATGAGGATAGTTTCATTTTTGGCCTCAAATTCATAGCATGGATTGATAATCAGTTTTGGAAATAGCTTCTCACTTACCTGTAGAAATGAATACTTTTGGAGTGTCTGAGTGACTCAGTTGGTTATGCATTGGACTCTTGATGTTGGCTCAGGTCACGATCCCACAGTTCGTGAGATGGAGCTCTGTATAGTGCTCTTCACTGATAGTACAGAGCCTGCTTTAGATTCTCTCCCTTTCTTTCTTTCTGTCTCTCTCCTGATTGTGTCCACATACATGGGCACTCTCTCAAATAAATGAACTATTAAAAACAACAATAACAACAAAATAAATACTTTCTTAGGTGAGTAGTAAATGACATTTTTACTTAATGATTACCAGTATATTTTCATATATAAAGCTGGGTCAGTTAAGAAAATATTATGGAAAAGAAAGGATTATGAGCTTTTATATTTTAAAATTTGTCATGTTGTAATGATGGAGGTTCAGTTTGAAGACATTAATTTTTTGTTTATCAGAGTATCATTCGTTGTGATGAAGATGAAGCTCACGTTGCATCTGTATATTGCACTGTGTGTGCAACTCACTTGTGCTCAGAGTGTTCTCAAGTTACTCATTCTACAAAGACATTAGCAAAGCACAGACGAGTGCCTCTGGCTGATAAACCTCATGAGAAAACCATGTGCTCTCAGCATCAGGTACACGCCATTGAGTTTGTTTGCTTGGAAGAAGGCTGTCAGACTAGTCCACTAATGTGCTGTGTCTGCAAAGAGTATGGAAAACACCAAGGTCACAAGGTATGAATATAATTAGACTGGATGACTCTATCTGGTTTACCAACTTACCATTCATTTCCATTGACTTGGTTCTTTCTGCCAAGTAGGGATTGAAGAAGAGTTCAGTGATGAATGAGTTGAGCTTGGTAGCATGAAAAGAAATGAGAGATTCAATTTCTAAATGTCATAACAGATTTCAGAGTCTTGATAATTCTTTCTTCATTGAAAAATAGCTTTCAGCAGGAAACAAAAGTTCTTTTCTCTGTGTGCATGTTTTCATAATGAACTGGATTGTTTTGACAATTTTTATGTCTTTTGATGGACTAATGTTTATGGTAAAATCATAAAGTGAGTCTCTTGTATTCTTATTTAGCAATAAATGGACTCCCAAATTTTAAATTATTTCTTTGAAGGATAAATATTTTTCAGAAGGTAAATTAGTATTTAGCATCTTGTGCTTTTGTAAATGTGTTACACAAGCCACTTGAGACTGATCCTTTTTATTACTATAGAAATGATTTAAATAGCGTTTTATATTGTTAGTCAATACCATGAGTTCTTTTCTATGATTGTGTTGCATTTTAGCATTCAGTATTGGAACCAGAAGCTAACCAGATCCGAGCATCAATTTTAGATATGGCTCACTGCATACGGACCTTCACTGAGGAAATCTCAGATTATTCCAGAAAATTAGTTGGAATTGTTCAGCACATTGAAGGAGGAGAACAAATAGTGGAAGACGGAATTGGAATGGCCCACACAGAACATGTATGGAATTTTTTTCTTCTTTACCCTCTTACCCTTTGTACTTCTCACCTTTTCATTTTTTTAATTTATTGAGCAGTTACATTGTGGTAGTCCTGCACTAGTCCCTGAAAATAAGTTTTATAAAAAGGCTCTGCCTTCATGGAATTTCTAATCCATCATGAAAGAGAGATAGTTTCAATGTGGTAACTATTTTGTAGGGGAAGTACAGGATGCCCTGGCAATGATAAGAGTGGCAATAATTTAGCTGAGTCAGGGAAGGCTTCCTGGAATATGTGATGTCTAAACTGAAATTTGAAGAAATTTAGTCAGGGAGAAGAGTGGGGTGGGGAATGGGTTGACCCAGAGAGGGAAGCATTGGACATACTATAGAAACAACTCAGTTCACTACACTTGAAACTTTGAATATTGGATGGGACAGGGCAAGAAAAAAGGTTGGAGAGTTACGGGGCCAAATCATGGAGGATCTTATCAGCCATGTTAAAGAGGTTGGACTTAATTATAAGGGCAGTGATGAGCCACTGAAGAATTAGCATAAGAATGATATAATCAGATTGCATTAAGAAAGATTGTTTTTAGGGGCTCCTGGGTGGCTCAGTTGGTTAGGCATTTGACTCTTGATTTTGTGCTCAGTTTATGACCTTGTGGTTCATGGGATTGAGCCCTTTGTCCAACTCTGCAATGAATGTGGAACCTGCTGAAGATTCTCTCTCTCTTTTACTCTGTCTCAAAATAATAATAATATAATAAATAAGTTATTTAAAAATCAAATAAAATACAAAATTTCGTTTTTCATTTTCACTAGCTACGTTTCAAATATATTCAAGTACATATAGCTAATGGCTACCGTTTTGGACCACACAGATATAGAATGTATCCATCATCATTGAAGGTTCTATTGGACATTTTGTGGTAGAGTGGAAATACTTTATTCCTTCAGTGAATATTTATGGAACACATAAAATAGCTAGATGCTGTTTTAGCATTGTTATAGCTAAGGAGACACTGCCAAAAAGCTCAGCCTTTGTAGTTTACATTCTAATCTGGAAAAAGGGTCAGTACTCATGGCAAAAGTATGTTAAGTGCTATGGAGTGTTATAGGGGGTGTTGCTGGATAGACTTCCTGAGAAAGGGACATTGAGCAAAGACCTAAAGCGGATTAAAAAGGAACCATGCTAATATTTGGGTAAGAATATTCCAGGCAGAGAGAAGAGCAAGTGCAAAGGCCCTGAAGTTGGAGTGTGCCTCCTGCACTTAGGAAACTATCTGAGTGCTAGATAGAGTGCTCATTTTGGCAGCACATAAACTAAAATTGAAATGATACAGCAAAGATTAGCATGGTGCCTGTGTGAGGATGACCTACAAATTCATGAAGTATTCATATTTTTAAGGATTAAGAAGTACAGACTTCCACTTATAAGTAATAGAAATGAAAAGTACAGCATAGGGAATATAGTTTGTAATACTGTGATAACATTGTATGATGGCAGACAGTGACTACACTTAGTGTGCTGAGTACCAAATAATGTGTAGAATTGTCATATTATTGTTCACCTGGAACTAATACAACATTGTATGTCAACTATGCTTCAGTTAAAAAACCTGTGAGGTCAAATGCAGCTAGAGTAGAATAATTTAGGAGGGGATAGCAGGCATTGAGATCACAAAGGGTCTTATGGATACTAGCTTTTCTTTCTGCCAGAAATCTTCAAGGTAATCTTATAATTACCTTCTTTACATCTTTGCTCAGATGATGCTTTTTCAGGGAGTCTGTCCTTGAATGCTCCCTGTAAAGGACTTTGACATTTACTCTGAGTGGAATGGGAAGTCATTAGAGTATTGGGGAAAAGAATAGTTATCTTTCTGACTTAATATTTCCTTTTTTTTTTTTTTTTAAAGATGGGCCTTGACATATAGGCTGGAGGGTTTTTTTTGTTTTTTTTTTTTAATGCTTTATTTCTGAGAGAGCGAGCAAGCGAGCATCAGCAGGGGAGGGTCAGAAAGAGAGGGAGATACAATCTGAAGCAGGCTCCAGGCTCTGAGCTAGCTGTCAGCACAGACCCCGACATGGGGCTTGAACCCATGAACCGCGAGATGATGACCTGAGCCGAAGTCAGGTGCTTAACTGACTGAGCCACCCAGGCGCCCCATGACTTAACATTTTAAAGGACTGATCTGGCTGTTAGGTGGAGAACACGCTGTAAAGGGCAGGAGTGGATCTAGTGAAACCAATTAGAGAACTATTTTAATAATCTAGTGAGACACAATAGTGTCATGGATCAGGTTGGTAGAGGTGGAGGTATCAGGTTGATAGAGGTGGAGGTAATGAGGCTTGATCAGATTTTGGATATTTTGTTTTGGATATGTTTTGTAGTCAGAATTTGTTGAGGGACTTGTTATGGGATATGAAAGAGAAGTATTAAGGGTGACTCCAGTTTTTTTTGGCTTGAACAATGTGGAGGATGGCATTGCCATTTATTGAGATGGAGGAAACTAGGTTTGGCAGTGCAAGAGACTGAAGGTTAGGTATTCTTGCTTTGCTTGAGATGTTATTTAAAGAGTTGGATGTCCAAAATCTGTGGTTAAGGGGAAAGATCTAGTGTGGAGATGGCAATTATGCAGTTTTTAAGAACATAGATGGTATTTAAATTTTCATTATTTCACACATAAAATATTTGTTATAGTTAAAGGTGTTTAAACCCAATTTTTATTTCCTTAGGTACCAGGCACTGCAGAGAATGCCCGGTCATGTGTCCGAGCTTATTTTTCTGATCTACATGAAACTCTGTGTCGTCAAGAAGAAATGGCTCTAAGTGTTGTTGATGCTCATGTTCGAGAAAAACTGATTTGGCTCAGGCAGCAACAAGAAGATATGACTATTTTATTGTCCCAGGTTTCAACAGCCTGTCTTCATTGTGAAAAGACTTTGCAACAAGTAGGTAGATTGAACATGGTTAGGACATATTTTGAGACTGAAGGTTTATAAGGTTAAGCAGATAATTATCAGAGGTATACACTAGTCTGTTTTATTAATAAATATTATTATTATATGTTACTGTCTGCATTAATGTTGTGCTTAGGATATGGTCTCTAACCTTGAATTGCTTTACCAACCGTATCAGTGTCCTCCACTTCCTGTGCCCTCCCCAGCATAAAACCATGGATTCTAGAAGCTCTTTAATGTCTTGTTACTCTTCAGTCATGCTAAGTCCCTTAACTGTTCTTACCAAGCATGTGCTATTTTTTTCTGCTTGGTAGGCATATCTCTCTTTTCTGATAGTCGAAATTCTTCTTCAAAGTTTAGCTCAAATGTTTGCTCTTCTTTGAAACTCTCGCTTGTTCTTTTTTCTTGGATGCCTTTCTAGCATGTACTACCTATCTCTGCTCTAATTCATTGGTTCTTAACTTTGATATCATAGTAATCCTATGTTTTTGATGATTGGGTATCATAAGCAATTTGTTTTACCAGTTTTCAGATGATCTACTTTTTTTTCTTTAATGTTTATCTATTTATTTTTAGAGAGAGTATGCACACATGAATAGAGGGGCAGAAAGAAGGGGGAAAGAGAATCCCAAGGAGGGTCTGCACTGTTAGCACACAGAGTCTGATGTGGGGCTTGATCTCTTGAACCATGAGATCATGATCTGGGCCAAAATCAAGAGTCGGATGCTTAACCAACTGAACCACCCAGGTGCCCTCATATAATATACTTTTAAAATAAATTAGATTTAATGTTATTTGAGCAAAAGTGTCAGGCTTACTCATTTCTGTGGGTGATCTAAGGGTAATTATTACAGTAAGAATTCCTAGTAGCTGTAGTGTAACTTATCTTTATTGACATATTGCTAGTAATTGTGTTGATTGCAAATCAACAATCTACTGTTATAAAGCTTTTTCTCTTAAATATCTGATTAGATTTATATGAATGTAGTGAGGCTGTAGCCACAAAAATCTTTAGCTGTTTTTTAGCCCTTATCATGTTGAATTATAATAATTGATGTGTATGCCATTTATTAAATTGCCTTGAGCTTCAGTTCTCTTTTTCTTCCTTTGCCCTGTGATTTTGGGACTGGAACTCTACAAACCTCATATCTGCTTTGCCAGCTGGCATCTTGTTAATTTAGGCTCCATCAATAGGGGACAGGACAGGAAGGCTGGAAAGTAGACTTAGTTTCCTATGGATTCCCATTTACTTGGGGTTACTGTGAATTTCACTGCTCACGAGAAGAGACCACTTGCCTTAGAGACCTGAGCTTATGCTCCACCGGGCCTCTACTGTAAGTTTCTAAGTTCTAATAATTCTAGCATCTGCCTTTTATTCCCCTAGTCCTGAGGGTGATAGCTGCTTCCTACAGTTGCTTCCCACATGATATCTCTGAGTTCTTTTTACCCTTTCAGTTACCTAGTTAATAACTACACCTACTTAGTAGTTCTTCATAGTAAATTCTTTCTTTTTGCACAACTGGTGTGGTTTTTCTCTACTAATTGAATCCGAATGATATAATATGCATTGTTTATCGATCTTGATATTGACTGTATGCATCTTGTTCATCTTTGTATCTAGATAGAAGGAGCTTAATAAATATTTGTTCATTTATGATGGGTAATCAAGCTACCCAGCCAAGTCAGAAATGGATTATATTTAGATCTCATTTACTTGAATATGTAAAAGTATTTTTATATGTATTCTGTTAAAACATATGTTTATAGTTAATAAATATTTGGAGGTTATTTTACAGTTTCTGAAATATTTTATCAAACTGATGGGTAATTGTTAATGATATGGTATTATTTCACTATGTTAATACAAATGAAGTTTGGGTCTTAGAATCATTCTTCATATCATTTTTGGTTTTTAAGGTCATAGAACTCTAACCCCAACCAATATTCTTTTTTTTTATTAAAAATATTTTTAAATATTTATTTATTCTTGAGAGTGAGCAAGGGAGGAACAGAGAGAAATGAAGACACAGAACCTGAAACATGCTATAGGCTCTGAGCTGTCAGGGCTTGAACTCATGAACCATGAGATCATGACCTGAGTCAAAGTTGGGTGCTTAACCAACTGAGCCATCCAGGCACCCTCCCCAACTAATATTCATAAAAGGTCCTACCATAGAGATAAATGAACAGAGGAATGGATAGAACATCAAACATTTAGTATCAATTTTGAGAACAAAACTTAATGATTATTCCCCTCCAAAAAAAAAAAAAAATGAGGAATCATCTGAGTTCAAGGCATGAAGCTAAGTGGTAAGGATTTGTGTATTCATTTAGCAAATAAGTTTTGAGTGCCTGCTGTGTGCCAGATACGTTCTAGATAACGTGAGATATACAGGTAAAGAAGACAAAAAGCTATAATCTTACAGAATTAGCATTCTAGCAAGGAGAAGATAATAAAGCATAATCATATCTAAATAAGTAAATTATATAGAATGTTAAAATAGTGGTAAGAACAAAGGACAAAAGAAAAAGTGTTGGAGTCCAGGAGACTGCATTATTAAGCAGTCAGGGTAAAAATCATTAAGAAAAGGTGAGATTTGAACAAAGCCTCAAAAACAAAAAAGGCCAAGGAGTTTATTTAAGCACTAATATGGGGAAGAATATTTATGCTGAGGAAGCGATTAGAGCAAAAACCCTAGGACACCGGGCTTGCTGTATTTCAGGAACAACAAAAGAGGCCACTGTGGCTGGAATACAGTAAGTGAAGGAGAGAGTAATAGGAGCTATAATCAGAAGTAATACGGAATTATATGTAATGAAGGCTTTGTGGGCCACTGGAATAGAGAAGCCATTGTGAAATTTTGACAAGAACGACTTGATCTTAAAATGATCACTTTGATGTATAAAAAACGGATTAAGGAGGGCAAAGATGGAAGGAAGGAGTTAAAGGAAAGAAGGAGTTAGGAGAATTCCATGTGAGAGAGAATACTGGCTTGGCTAGTGGCAGTGAGAAGTGTCCAGATTCTGGATATCTAATAGGATTTGTTTGTATTTGGGGCATGAGAGAGTTGAAGCAGGAATTTCTTGAAGGTTTTTGTTCTCAACAGCTAGAACAACAGGTAACTTATAAGCAAAGTTTGTTAGTTGATTATCAACTTATATAAATATGCGGCAGTGAGGAAAAACTGTAAATACTACTGCTTTCATGGAGCTTACATATTGTTTGGAGATCTCTGTCTTAGGAAGAATATATTGGTACCTGTGTAGAATACCTCTGGAATAATGTTGGAGAAACTGGAAAGTGCTTGACTTTGAAGAAAGAGTTTGGTGATCTAGAGGGAGAGAGAAACTTCTCAATTTGACTTGTAGTCCATTTTTTAAAAAACCAATATATATATGTCATAAATTATTTAAAAACCTTTATAAATAAGTACAATGTACGGGG